TACTACTAGGAACAAGGTTCGCTACTAGGAGCAAAGGGCATCGCTACTAGGAGCAAGGACGCTACTAGGGGCTCCTGGCCTTACTACTAGGAATAAGAAGCTACTAGGAGCAAAGGGCATCGCTACTAGGAGCAAGGGTGCTACTAGGGCTCCTGGCCTTACTACTAGGAACAAGAAGCTACTAGGAGCAAGAGATGAGATGAACGGCTTTCGGATACCAAAGTGATGGACGCGGAATTCCTCCGCCTCTTGGACATCCAAAAATGGAGGGCAGGGCAGTTGCCTAAGTGACAAGCAACATCAATTGCACCGGCCTGCCAGAGGCCATTGGCCTTGCTGGCATGCTGGAAGGGTGGCGTCGCCTCCAAGATTTCAAAGGCCTCGACATGGGAAGCACAAGCCCAGGTCAAATGAGGCCCACGCCTGCTCCACATGAGTTGTAGGTTGGGCCTGTAGACAAGAATGTGGGCGCTTGGAGAGGCCTTTATTTGTGATCCAAAAGCGCAGCTCACCCCAACTAAGAGGACCAGCTGCTCACTGGAGGAGGCGTCGTCTCTTTGCCACTCTGGCAAAGTCAGCACAAGAGTTTAGAGGTTGGAGTCCTTCCTGGTCCGCTTGTTCAGGCTTACATCTGCCCAAACAACCTCTGGTAAGGTGGGAGAGCCTTATCATCAGCTATGCCCGACCGCTTCAAAACAATACATGAGGACAATCCACTGACCTTGTTGATATTCCCCAAAGGCTGTTGAATTTTTCCAATTTTGTTTGGGGAGGCTAGTGGGCGTTAAAAGGAGTGAAAGCGCTGAAAGAAAATCTTGGACCACCTGAGATATGGAAAGTTTTAATGCCAAACACTTGACTTACATTGACTTACTGTACAATGTTCTAACTCAGTACATTTTCCTGGTGGAGTGACGTCTTCCCACCTTGTCCAGGGGCATCTTACACCTCTCCGCAGTCTTGTAGAGGATTCGCAAGAGGCTCCGGTGATAAGGGCGGCTGAGATCCAAGACATACCTGGCCGTTGCGAGGCTTCTTGGCAAACATGTTTTAGGATGTCCAAGGTTCATCTTTATGATAATCCGATTCTTCTATCTATCTTGGGAATATCCCATGACCAGTAACATGACGCCTATTAAAGGCCCTTTTTCAAACATTGTGATCATTTGTTGCCGACTGTTACTCGCAATGGGACAATGGGACACACCCTGTATCTATAGACTATAGAGTCTAGAGGTCGGCTGAGTCAGCGAGTCGCCACCTTGCGTGGATTCCGTCTGCTTCAGCACCCCCCCAAACCAGTCGACCAGGCTGAAAATGGGGGTGGACAGGTGGACAAATCAAAGTCTGCCCAAAGAGGCTGTCAAGTGTGCGATAGACCAAATGCACACATACACGCGCGCACACACACACACAAAACCCCGACTGCACATGCCCCCCCAACAAAAATGCAACGTGTCATGTTTGAGACCCCTTGATAGAAGAATCCAGTGCATCCGCACAGCCCGGGCAGCTTCAGGAATACCAATCTGTTTTCGACTACAAAATCTTGGTGGCCCGGGCTGTGCATCAAGTGAAGACGAGCGGCATCGTCTGCTGAAGTGGCCCCCATGTTCTGATGCAGACCAGATCCTGTGTCACCCATGGAGATATCCAATTATCACTCATGGAGATTCTTCTACAGGAACATGGGTGCTTCCGAAACAAATGGATTTTCAGACTTTCTTGTCAACGAAGTCCTCAGAATCATCACTCCCCTCCAGAACAGGCTTTTCCTGGGACCTGAGGCAGCCGAAGCACTTGCTGCCCGGGTTGGTGAAGGAGTAGACGGAACAACCTGAACCGGCCGAACAATAGGTATCGATGGCGGTCCAATTTGGCAACGACTGGTGGGGATTTCTATATCGAACGCGTTCAAAGGAAACACGCAGGCGCAAAACGGCCTACTATATAGCAGCTTGATAGTCTAGTCACCCTTGCTTGAGGATGTGAAGCGCAAGCAACACCTTGTCCTCGACATACTACGGCCAGCTAGCCAGAAGTGAGAAACGTTCGAGGCCATACGCTTCTTCCAGAGTCAGCGGCTTGAAAGGTAAACCCATCAGTATAGTAGTACGGCTGCCGTGTACAATTGTTTGTGCAGCACCACAAATGGCTAAAGTTCAAAGCTGAATTCCGTGACGCCGACGTTTGACCTGCAGGGTTCTACAAAAGGGATCGGCCTCAACATGAGAAACCCAACTAATTGACCCAAGCCGTAACTGATTGGTGCTTTAAACTGACTTGACAAATATTACTATGTGGGTTCAAGCAAAGATATCCCAAGATACCGCAAGTAAACATAAAGTTAACGGTGGAAAAAAGTACAGTAAAATATCTGAAACCACCACCCAGACAAGAAACCAATCCCACTGACCAAAGTTGAACCACAATTTGACATAGTTTGACAATATGTGAGACAATGTATTTCACCTGCAAGATGTGCGAGGGCCAGCTTAGGTGTTTCTCATGTACCATGCTCCTAAAGAACAACCCACTTGTGTTATGAGGTATTCCGTGGCAGGAGGCAGTGTTACACAGCCTCCTGGCAAACCAATCTCCTACTACGGAACTAAGCTAACCCACCCAGTGACAGTTGGACATGGCGATTAAAAAAACATGTCCCAAGTCCGAAGAGTTGTCCCACCCCATTGGCTCAGCCATTGGCTCATGTCTTGCATGTCTCTCGTCGACACCACCCGTCTGCCTTCAGCATCTTCATCCGCCATCCCACTGATGCCTTGATAACCTGCGCGACCCGTCTGACTCGGCGCGGCACTCGGCCCGCTGCGGCCGTCGAGGCACGGTCTCGTCTGGCGCAGACCATGCAGACCGGGCGTTCCCACCGTGAAGCGATCTGGAAGACTCTGCTGGGTCCGAGCCAAGGTGCTTGGGCAACCGGTGTCTCCCCATCTGTTCGCTCAAACATCCCCGAACCCAAACGGTGAGAGCCCCAACGAGCGCGGTCACCGCTCCGAACCCCCTTGGACTCCAGCAGGTCGACTGCACCGCTGACGGGTCGCGTTACGCGACGCGTTAGAAAGAAATGAAACCTTCAGGCACATGCAAAAGCAAAACCATCCCGAACCCCAAAAAGAGGTTCACAAGTTATCCACTCACTGTAGGTCAAAAATATTAGTATAATGCATATATATATATATGCTTAAGATTATTTGAGGGTGTCGCGGGTCTGCTGGTGTCCAGAGACCAGCCCCCTGAGCTCCCTGCACGCATGGTGTTGCCATGTGCTATCTGTCTATCTGTCAAATGGCGCCGGCACGTTTGGCAACTAGTGCCGAAAGCAGGAAATGACCATCATAGTAATTATGACACAATGGCCAATTAGAGTGCCACTGGGTCCTGTCAACGCCTTTGCTTGGAGACACGCTGGTGTAGCCGCTGGCAAGGCAATGGAAAGGACCCTTTCAAGACTCAAGACCAACCTCCTGCAAAACATGGATCTTGTCAGTGACGTACTTCTCGGAAGAATAGAGGGGTCGCTTTGGTACCATCATGTACCATCTACCTAGTGGTTGTGCACTTGGGGGTGCCCACTCTATCAATCAACTGTACAGTAACCAATAGTAAGTTAGGCCGTCCGTGGAGTCCGTGGATCTTATTCCTCGTGCCACATCCAAAGTAGGGGGGGGTAGGAAGCTACTAGGAACAAGTGCATCGCTACTAGTAACAAGTGCCTTACTAGTAGTAACAATGTTTGCTATTAGAAACAAGTGCCCTACTACTAGTAACAATAAGAATTTAATTAGAATTGTAATTACTAGCATGTGGTCCACAACCTTTGCACACATCCCTTCGTGCAACTCAAGAACAGCCATCCGATTGGAAGTGCTTCAATGCATTCTGCTGCCGCGAGAGCAGCCGAAGGAGGCTGCGCATGCCCAGGGCTCCCAGTGGGTTGTCGGTCATATTCAGGTCCTGATTCCGCTCCGCTGGGCGCAGTTGGGTTCCCAAGAGCCTTCTGGGTCCATGCTCCATCAGCCCTCCGCCCTCACCAAAAGGTGTGGGCGCGTTGCAGGTCCACCTTTGCAGTCTTCACGAGCAAAGAACAAGGTCAGAGTTCACAACCCCAATCGCAAGTTTTGCGGGTCATGGGCGTGTGCAATCTACATCCATCTACTACTGTTACCGCTTTTTCTTCCTACCGTTTTTCTTCCCGAGGTGTCGCAATGGCTCCAACTGCACGCGGCTGGCTCTCCTTGAGGGTGGGATGCATGTCCAGGGCATCTTCGATGACCTTGCCATGTGCGACGGGGTCCCCGTTAAGCTGCTCAGTGACATGGAGTAGACTCACAAAGCGATGTAAGGACAACAAACCGGATTCGAGAGCTTCAGATACTGCCATATATATAATATATATTATAGATATTAATTTTATCTAATATATATATATATATAACAAAATATACTGTATATATATATAGTGTGCGTAGATTGAGGATGGCTAAGGTGACTTCAGGATTCCAAGTATGCAAAGGATTCCAGCCCAATGCTATGTAAGGGCTGCACATGACCCCTCCTGCCATCAAATGACAGTTTTTTTGAACAGGTGCATCACCAAGCAACATCAAGAAATGACGGTCTTTTTCTTGGGCAGCCCCAACGCCCGCGGTCCCCCGAACTCACACGGACCGGAAGTGCAGTAAGTTCACCGAGTTCACGCCCATTGTTTGTATGAAAAACGTGGTCTTCCGAGTCACCGGGCTCACGCCATCCACTTCCACACCATGCTCGGAACCCGCCCCTTCGGCCCCTTCGGGGCCCGCAGTCGCGTCCCAGGCGCCAAGGCTGCGCGGAAGTCCACCCGGTTGGCGACGAGGCTCAGCTTCTTCAGGCTCTTGTCCCGCGCCAAGCCTCATGGGGCGGGTTCTGGAACGAGTCTTGGGTGGTTTGGGGGGCACACTGCACCACATCCTCTGAACTCGGACGCTGGGATTGCCGTGAGAGTTGGAAAGGCTGATTTATCATCCTTCACCATCATCATTCCAATGCCTTCAAACTCCACAAGCTTCGATGCGATTGCTTACTGCACCTCTGTCTAAGCAAACTCCTGGGTCCCCACCTTGGCCATTCATTTCTGCTATACCTTTATCTTTTACAAACTAAAGTTCTCATTTCCCTGACCTGGGGACAAATGAAGGATTCTGCTGTCCAACCACATACATCTTTCGAACCTCTCAGATCTACAAATCTATAAACAAATATAGTCACATTTATCACATGTGTCTATTATATATAAAATATATTTATATATATGATAAATTACTAACTATTCAGTTGACGTTTTGTTTGTGCCCTCATGTGCACTCCCACCTTCGCCACTTCGCCCACACTGAGCCCCCCCAGTGGCCTTCCAGAAGCTCGGCCACAGGGCTGTCACGACCAATGACGTAGGCGGCACCTGAAGGACATGCCCCCGCTCACCCAGTGGGATTCCCTCCAGTGTCCCGAAAGCAACATCAAACGTCAACCGAACGGTCCACCGGTTCGTTGTGTCGGCAAAGCCGGTCCGATGGCCGGTGATGCACTGAGTGGGTCGGGACCGTCGCTGCTTCTGGTGGACACTGACATGAAGGGCTGCGCCCTCAATAAATTACAAAGCAAGTCTCGACCCCGGCATGACCTGGCGAAACGCAGTGGGTGCCTGCTTCTTCTCCCCCAACTACCTAAGGAAAACATGGAGGCACTGGATGTCTACAAATATCAACAAATCGCCTGTGGTGAAAACGGTGGACATCGGCAACGGAATGAAAAAGAATGAACAACGTTTACTAAGTGGAGAACCCAACATATGCGAGATCCATTGGAACCAACAGTCCTGGACCCCCAAAAACCATCTCCTCAAATCGACCAAAACTACACGGACCTCTGAACAAATCGACCCTCCGACTCCCATCAGTCGAAACCGACCAGGCTGCAATAGTCCACGCCCAGCTCCTCGATCTCTGTGGCCTGCAGCGAGATCGAGGGGGAGAGCGCTGAGGAACCGGATCGGTTCCGGTGTGAATGGTGCGGGATCAATTGAGGGTTTCAGGTGCCTGATGGTTGGTCAAATGCAAACCATGTAGTAACATGATGCAACATGTGATCCAATTGGTGGAGAGAAGATGTGCTAAGGCCATGTTCTTGTGGGGGAGCCTGATTTTGAGACAGAACAGTACTCAGAACAGTTACTGTACTTTGATTTATTTTGTGCCACACTGTGCTGGGTCTTTAACTTTCCAAGTGACGTGGATGATGGCGTTGGTATGGGTCCAACTCCCAAAAGAATGCACAGTATGCAGCCTTTCCAACTTCATTTAGGTCGACTACCCCTGGGCGTAGCACGGATTACAAACATCCAGAATTCATCACCTGCCCAAGTTCTTGACGAAGCTCAATAAGTGTCAGTAGGACACTTTGGACACGACAGTGCCAACTTGGAAGGTAAACTCGTCAGCTGTTCTCGGTGAAATGCACAAAAATATACATATATTATATATAACTATATAATAAATATACAACACAATTTTCATTATTTCGAGAGGTTACTGTGGTGTAGGTGACACTCAAACCAAATGACAGAATGAGGTTGCTTGGACGGCTTGCTGGAGCAAGCCATACTCCCAAAAAAATAATGCAAGCATACATTAACTGACATGGCTGTTCCGGCCTCAATCAGGACCCCCATCTGTGTGAACTGCTCGTGGTTGAACCGGTTCCAGCTGAGGTCCAACTTCCTCAGCATCCAACCAACGTCATCTCAGCTGATGCACGATGCCACGAGGAGCGATTCCCACACCATGGAAGAACGGGGTGGTGACCCCCCGCTTGTGTGACGTTCAAGACGTTTGGCAGGGTCGCGCCGTTTGAAGCGACCGATGGCCCATTTGTGGTACGTGGTCTTGGGTCAACCAGCCTTCAAACAAGAGAGCCTCGGACGTTTTGTCACAGTTCGACTCGGGGTGTTTGGACCGCCCCCAAGAGACCTTGAGGAATACAGGGCCGAAAGACTCCCAACCGGTGGAGCTTTTTCAGCCCGCCCCGCGCCGCGCCACGCCGCTTGAGTGAAGGGCGGGGCGCCCAATGTCAAGACCGGGGGAGAAAGGCGACGAGAACCAACTGAGCCAACCTTTGTCATTTCCAAGGTATGAGCATATTTCGACGTCGCGCGGCACGACCCGCGACGGGTTTGACCTATTTCGGGATCAAGTCTCTGCAAGCGAACATTGAGGAAGAGATTGGAGAGACAAAGCCCACTCAGCCCGTTCTTGCCGAGTCCTGACACAGTTTATGATGACATTAATGATCACCTCCACACCCCGTGACTTTTGGCACAAAACGATTCGCTGACAGATGTTGTCACCTGACATCTCAGTCTGCTCCTGTACCACAAAGGCTGACGTCTCGGATGTTCTTGTGCTCACCGATGGCTTTGCCTTATCCAAAGCCCAAGAGGGGTTAACCAGGAGGCCAAGCAACAGGCGAACGGACGCTAAGTACTGCCAGCGTGGGAGTGGAAAAAAAGTCGAACCCCTTCAAAACAACACGTTGAATTTCAAGGACACTTGCTTCCAATTCAGCTAAAAACCTTATAAGGAAGCCATCAACAAGCAACGTATCTACATGCAACCATCCACCAACCAGGCCCACACATGTGGTGCCAGTGCTTAGCTAGATCCTCGACCCTCTAATAGAGCCTCCTTTGCGCCACCATCAGCCAGTTTGTGTGTCGGTCTTTCAAGGTTTCTTGGCTGAGGTGGGGATGTCATTTCCTTGCATTCGTGTCTTGTAGTGCTTGATGTAGGCATAGGCTCAAACACAGACACACCGTAAATATATATATATATAAACGGTGTTTGTTGGAATATACGGTTGTTCTGTTCAGAATGTTATATACCTGTTACCAGCAGATGCCTGGAAGCAAAGGATGAAGGCAAAGTACATGAAGGCACATCATGCAAGACAGAAAGCAAAGTGACAAGCACCATCATTTGCACCATGGAAAAGGCCATGCAAAAGTGACATTGCTGCTACACCATATGCACGGTGCAGAAAACGCTACGCTCGCTTTTTATGGGCGCAGCATAACACCCGTTTCGGTGCGAAGCCACTGGATCTGCAAATCGTGTTCTTCCGGACGACGCACCTCACTTGTGTCTAATAGCTTTTTGTTACTACTAGTAAGGCACTTGTTACTACTAGCGAGGC